CATGCTATTGATGTTGCTTAAATGAACATGTTTTTCACAAATTTTCCTTCAGTTTATACCTCATAAGTAATTAAAAAAAAAAAAAAAAAATTTGAAATAGGTCTAATTTTATAGACCACCTTTTAAAATGTCCAATTTTTAATGATTTTTAACTTTTGAAATATGTTTAATTTATAATTACTTTGAACCCATATCAAAAGACCTCTTAAAAAAAAAAAAAAAAAAAAAAAAGAGGTGTGTCTCAATCCTTATACTTGTCAGTGTGTGTATGTTGATTGCCTTGAATGATAAGGAGAGGTTGATGGTTACTGATATATATATATATATTATATGTATATATATATGCTGATTCTTCTTTTGAGTTCTAGTGTTGATGCTTTGGCATTTAGTATCTATCCCTCTCTTGGAGGTCATTTTCTGTAGTTTAGATATTGCTCAACTGCTATACAACTGCTACCACTAACTTGCATTATTGTCATTAGCTAGTTTTGATAAGTAACTTTCCAACACTATTTTCCTCCTTTATTTTCATTTAATTTAAAGATAAAAAATAAATATGAGGTTTTTAGATGAGGAAGAGGCTATCTGACTGCAATATTTTATATAGGAACATGATACATACACACCTTTTTAGCCTCATACAAACTGGTTTTAGTTTTTTACACATTCATGTATCTCATGTGTATATAAAAAAAATAAAAGAACAGTGCGTCAAAAACTAAAAATATGTGTGAAATCACTTATTTTATATAAACAATCGGAAATTACATCTTTTCTTTAATAAATTTAGTAATTAGTACACTTATCTCACTCTTGTCCATCTTAAAATGTTTCTTTAAAAAACATTTCGGCTTAATTAAAACATTTCTAAGTGTTTTTGTTGCCCACATAAACACTTTTAAATATTATTTAAAAAACTCATATTATCTCTAAATAATTTTAATTATTATAAAACTACTTCCAAATTCATCATGACGCGAGGATGTGATCGATATTTCGTTTGAGCTTTGGAAAAGTCTGTTCATTTGTAGACCACGCGTCCGTCTTAGCTTTTGTTGGTGGGGAAGCACTACCTGCTTTTGCCACATAGCTGTATTACTCTATCCACAAAAGATTCTCTTCGTATCTTTCGGATTCAATTCGGTCTGGATTTTTACTTGTGAATGAAGATGACAACGTGGCTACAATAAGGGACACCCTGGTATGAGAAACTCTATCAAAAAATTTCTTCATGTCTTAAGTTAAAATGCAGAAAATCCAAATGGTAGAGATATATTTTGCTCACAAGAATGATTTGCATAGAACGAATTAATAGTAACTTAGAGTTCTAAACAATGTAAGTTGCTCTCGTTTGTAACAGATAAAAACATCATTCTCTCTTTGCTTAAAATGTGGATAAATTTGAACACAGTTGTTTTGAGTGAGCAGCAAACTAAAGTGTGTTCTTATTTTAGAAATTAATTAATGTGGGTTTTATGGATTAAAAAAAAGCATGTTATATTGTTATCTGTAAAGGAAAGTTTTCCGCTATCCATACACGAAAGGGATCCTCTCCAGATTCCTTCCACCAAATCTACAAATTGGAACTCTTGAAATTTGATCCAACCGTTGAAGTTATTTTAACTTTTAAAAGAGCCCATATTTTAATTGTTTGATCAATTTTCAAATATCTGGATTTGTGGATTTGGTGGAAGGGATCTGTAGAGGATCCCTTTCCCCCATACACGCCACTGAAATGCTTTCTTTTCAATAAAGTCAAGTTATACGCTGAGGCATTTCTAATGAAGGATAAGATTTCATAAAAGACAAAAAGGGTACGTCTAGTCACGAAGACATAAATTCAACTCCTCATGATAGAAGGGAAAAGGATAAAAAAAAAAAAAAATACATGAAAATAAGGGGGACATATATAGAAACAGGTAAAAAAGGGGGACATGAAACCTAACCCCTCTAAAGTTGGACCTAAAGGTCTAAACCTCAAAACAGAACAAGCAACAGCACAAATTTAAAAAATAATAAAATAATAAAAATAAAGGAAAGTAAGACATATATGTATGCCGAGATGTACATTAATTTGAAAAACGGAAGTTAGAAAAGCCAACATAGTCTGAAAAACAAAATAGCACATACTGCCATCGGAGGGAAATCAAACCATACCAAAGTTGGAGAAGACAAGCCCATATAATTGGCTTGTCTTGAATCCTTGATTAATTGGCTGTTTGAAACTTAATATATATCTATTATGAATAACCACTTTAATGCCGGAATACCATTAATTCTTATGAGACATTTGACGAATTATGTTACCCTATAGTTCATTTTGTATATGCATTTCCGATCAACACTTGGGCAACATAACACGAGCATCTCTTATCACTAAACTATGGTACTTGAAGCGCAAACTGCTATTAATTATCATGTTATTCCTTAAGAACTTAGTATTTGTTTTTGTCATATCTTTTGCCTAAGACATCATACCGCAATCCGCAAATAAATAACTACCCAAAAGCATCTGTGATTAATAAAATTGGTGAACTTTGATTCCCTGATAAAAAAAGCATATGCTAACCTAAAAACAAATAAAGAAAGTTGAAGCATGGATATTTCTTGGAAGTCATAAAGTATTTTCATTACTAAGAACAATTTAATCATTTGGCTAAAAGACACCTAAAGCAGATTTGCGGTGTTGCATTAGCAAATTAAGATGATGAACTATTGGCCCTGCAAGATCCATAAACACCGCAGATTAAATTTAATTCTAATAAGAAAATGAAAAACAAAGAGAAAGTCAAAATTTGATTGGAGACAGTTAGGAGCAGCCGCAGATTTTGGCAAATAAATTAAGCAGAGAAAAGGAAATCATCTATACACTCATAACTCAGTTTTTGGTCCCGAATGCAGATCACATGGTCAAGAAAACTTGAATGCGTACCCAACCACGTTATTTGTTGGACATCACTTACTATGAAATCTCCAATATTTTGATTTTAATTGATATTACATTTCATTTAGTGTGAAAATTATTCTAATCAAATAGTTGTACAAAAATTTTGCTCTCCATAGTCATACACCAAGGTTTGATTAAATAATAATGATAATTAGGGGTGGAAAAAAAATACCAAAAAACTAAAACTAAGTCGATCATACTAATAATGAACCGATAAACCGAAACATTCAGTACAAGTAATATCACACGTTTGTTTGTTTCTTAAGATTGAACTGAACCGAATTAAATATTGTATTTGAATCTAATTATATATATAATATATAAGATTAATTGTTATATGTCACATCCCCGCCTGGGGCGGAACCACTTCCCGAGCCCACTCCACCACCGTAGCACAATATTGTCCGCTTTGGGCTTACCATTCCCTCATGGTTTTGTTTTTGGGAACTCACGAGCAACTTCCCAGTGGGTCACCCATCATGGGATTGCTCTCGTGCGCTACTCGCTTAACTTCGGAGTTCCTACGGAACCCGAAGCTAGTAAGCTCCCAAAAGGCCTCGTGCTAGGTAAGGATAAGAATGTACATTTAAGGATCACTCTCCTGAACGATGTGGGATGTCACATTATAGCTGTTGGATTGGTTGAGATTTAATATTAACCTTTGATTTGAACTCAACTCTCTCTCGACCTCACCTCATTCATTTATGTCTCGACTCCTTTCCCCACCTCTATCTCTCGAAAATCTCTCCTCCACCCCTAATTCTCTGTCGCAAGAATCTCAACTCTGGCCACACCAACTCTCTATTTCGAAACTCCTTTATGACTCTCTATCTCTCAACTTATGTGTTGTTTCACTTCGACTACTACACTACACAAGATAAGAAATTTCACCTTGATCTATCAAATCTAATTTGGGTTTTGATTTGAGATTCTGAAACGGGGATTAGGTTTTAAAATTTTGATTTTAATTTTGGATTAAAATAAGGATTTTGATTTTGATTTTGTTTTGGGATTCTGATTAAAATTAAAATTAAGGGGTTTTGATTTCGATTTCGGACTCTACAATAGAAATTAGGGTTTTAATTTTGATTTTGAATTAAAATTAGGGGATTTGGGATTCTGATTTTGATTAAAATTAGGGATTTCTGATTCCAAAATTTTGAATTTAATTTAATTCTGAAATGGGGGTTAGGGATTCAGACCGCCAAATTTCGATCTAGACTAAACAACGAGATAAAATTAGAAGCCCAACATGTTCGGCTTGAAGGCCCATTATTGATCTCGAACCAAAAATAGAGACTATTTATGTATTAAAAAACTTCGAGAAAATTGAAAATATCAGCTTGCTTTCGATTTTTGACCCTTTTCCCGAACCGTTGGGTTCGGTTTCCGAATTGAAACCACCCCTGATGATAGGACAAGTCTAATCAGTCCTACCACTAAAACAAAAGCAGAAGAAGTAAAATAAATAGACTATTTTATCCTTTTTCTAAGAGGATCACCGCCCACCGTCCATCGCAACGTATCAACCTCCATTAAACAAAACATGTCGTAAACTTCCATTATAGTACGGAGTCTCTATTCGTCTAATGACAGTGACAACTGACAACCTCTCTGATTGAAGGACCATCTTCGATTTCTCCTTCCATCATACTTTTACACCACAAGCACGTCATCACCTACCCGTCCTTGGTGCCCCAGCTCTTCCTTATCTCCTTATCTTCTTCCATTTGTTCGGCAATTCCATGGTCGGAAAAAATAATCTAGTACTGAAGCACGCTCGCATAAAATAACCGCAAGTAAACATAACGAATATTTCTTTAATTTAACTTCTGTTTCGTTGCACTGACTTGTGGTAAATAACATTGATATTATCGATATATGGATCGATAGGATAGTTACGGTGAAAAACTTCTCAACTGAGAACCCCTAGTGCCCAGCAAACAACATGCAAAGCCGATGACCATTCTAGGCTTAGCCACCGTATCCACAACCAACAAAAATCTTCCCCAAACACAAGTAAAGATTAGCAACCAACGAATTGAGGCATATCTTAATCGACACAAAAAGTAAATATTATTTGTGTACAAGTGAAACAGTAACACCACGTAATACTACAATTCCGTCGCAAAAGCCATAAAATTCAAAGACTATAATTTCAAGAAAAGAAACATTACTGATTACCCTTCGGTTGGTTTGTTGTTACAATTGAGAAACTATATCAAATTACCAATCGAAACGGAATTCTTGTGATTCCATTTCCCGATCGGACCCAATAATACCTTCTCTGTATTTTCACTTTATTGCACACCTAAATACCTACTCATAACAATAAACAGCTGGTGATCGGTCGGCCTTCTCAATTAACTTTCATCGGAGTTTTCTGGGTCTGGGTACTCATTTAAGTCGGGCTTCAAAGAGCCACCCCGGCTCAACGTTGTTTTGGACTGCGACGTCGGCGATGCGCGGAGAGCGGTTTGAACAGCGTCGACCTTAGCCCCGACCTCCGTAGCCTTCTTCCTTATCGAAGCCGCCGACATGTCGTGGAGCTGCTGGCCGTCGTCTTGGAATACAAGTTCCGGGAAGTTGAGGCGGGCCGAAGGGCCTCGAAGACAGAAAACGGCGGTGTCGTAAGCTCGGGCGGCAGCCATGGGGGTCGTGTAGGAGCCGAGCCAAATTCGAGAGCGCTTGTTGGGTTCTCGAATCTCCGCCACCCACTTCCCCCACTTCCTCATCCGTATTCCTCTGTATTGCTTTTCTTGGCGGTGATCGGGATGCTTGCGCTTCTCCATGCTCGTGGACGTTGAGGAAGAAGACGACGAAGAGCAGCAGTAATCGCCTTCCATGGCAACAAACTAAACTATCTAAAATATGAAAATATATATAAATCCGACCCCCTGGATTTTCTGATGCCGTTGTGATTATTTCAAAAGCTATATCTCCTAAGATTGTATAATATTTCAGGGGGAATTTATACAAACAGATAGAGGGGGTTAATTTTCGCACTTGGCTGCTAGTCTGTCGTCAGGGCAGGGCCGCCACGTTGATGTATCTTGAAGATAAATCCAAAAATGGCCGACATATTCTATGAACTCTTTCCCCACCCTTCTCGCTTCTGCGCCCTCTATCTCCCTCTAAACACAGCGTTTCATGCTTTTATCTTCATCTTTCTTCTTCTTTTAGGGTGTCTGAAAGGCATTTTGTAGTTTATTTAACGAATATGGGACCGACATAAACAGTTTTATGGGTATGGGAAAGCCGACGTGGGTGGATGTTTGCACTTGCACGCAATCCACTTAGTAGTACTAAAAAATCTAAAAAAAATCAAATGAAATTGTTGCTAAGGAGCTGGATCCCCTCGTGAACCTAGGATGCTGAGTTTTTTGAGCAAATGATCTGGACCATTGAAATTTAATCAAACGGTTGTAATTTTTATAATTTTTAGAGGGGCTTCCTATTTGTAACCGTTGGATCAAATTTCAACGGTCCATATTCTTTGCTCAAGAGGAGATCCGATTCCGTTTGTTAAAATGAAGAAATTATGAGTTCTACCAAAATGTTGCATTTGATGTTATTAATTCACGAGTAATAATATAAAACACATCAATGATGGTATGTTTTGAATTTAAGCTCTGGATGTAACTAATACTCAAAAGTATTCATAACGAATCAAATGGTGTTGCTAAAGTTTCCTTTTAAGCTGTTTCGATGTATCTGAGTTTGAGCACTCTTTGTAAGGAGAATGTTGTTGTTCATCGTTTAGCAAAGTTTGCGTTTAGTTTAAATGTGAATCGAGAATGTTTTGAGGTGTCACTTGTGAATGTATAATCGTCAAATTTATCATATTAGAATCGTGCATGAGGCATGACTTTTTACAGATCATGTGTTACTACTATAAACTAAACAAAAGTTTTTAGCTTGAATCTGGTTCGATCCATAAATAAGTGTAATCCCATCCCTGTCCCTAGTGTTTCTACTTTTTAACGCAGCTCTCATAAAAAAAATTGCATAATTCAATTTAAGATCGAATCAAGGTGGAATTGAGCGTATAATTTTTGGCTCGCATGACACGTAAGTGATAAAAAATAGTTTACACACCAAGACAATTTACTGCTCACACTTTCGTTGGTGAAAAATGACTTCTTACGTGTCAAAATCCATACATTTTTTTTTATTAGAACATGAATCGTCACAGTCGTTTTTTATGTTGCCACTTGCAAATTCATAAATATATAGGGAATTGAGGACCATCAAAATTATGAAAGAAGTCGGTGACGGATGTGGACGGATGGCAACCCCAACTTGTGGAATTGTGAAAAATAGGGAAATTATTAAAGCGATATTATAAAATCAAGTTCGGTTCAAATTATTTCCAACGACCATGCCACTTCGTTTTGCTATACACTCATTCATTATGTTTCTTGTATTATTATTGATAAATATAATTTGATTGATGTCCCAAATACTGCCTCCACAAATTTGTTTTATAATATTATCCTCCCTTTGTATTTTGGTATTGGAAAGCTTACTTTCCAGGGGCTCCGAAACCCAGTGATTTTTGGCACGTGTAGGGTTTTGAGTGGCTTGTGGAATAATTATCTGAGGTGGTCAAATTGCATTTTGACGTCCAAGTTCAAACCCTTGAAAACTTATGTACAAAACCTACCGTGCACCGCCTTAATACAGAACAACACAAAAATCCGACAGCGGTGGAATGAGTTACTTCGTAGCCGCACACCATCTGTAGAACTTACATTTTTCTTAATCGTTTAATATTTTAATGTACGTAGATTTACTGGACATAATCAAATCACCGATATCAATTATTATAAGATTAAGTGCTTAATTTTTTTTTTAAATCTTTTAGTGTTATTTTAAATTGATCTTAATATTTTTAAACATTTCAAGCAAGTAATTAACATATTGGAAATGTCACATTTGTTAGGCTTCAATTAATTTTTAAATATAGATTATATTCAAAACCAAACAATTGGTTAAATCATGGTCAACAATAATATTAGTTGCCCCGAAATCAATTTTCAACCGGGTTTGAATTGAATTGAAAATGTACCCAAATTGAAATCACATAAGGATTGTCAATCTCCTAATAAATAAGAGAGTGCAGGATTCAGATAGGATTTCAAGGAACTTGTTTCTGCTCATGAGATTTCCTCATTCGTTGATTCTCGATTTGTAAAGCTTATGATTCTTCTTGTGAACGGTGAAGATTGGAGTAGCAACATCACGACAACCCATACCATTTCAGAAACCTCTATGATCTTCTTTGTGATGTTGGCAGCTTGAGTTGTAAGGTGGAGTTGGTGGTTTTGCCCTGGGTTTAGATGTGGTGGCCTGATGGGGGTGGTGATGACCATTAACTGGTGGAGGCTATGCTTCTATGACCTTATATTGATTTTGGAGATAAAGTAAGTCTTAGTTCTTAATTTAATAGATTTTTAACTGAGCTTAATGAATGTGACATTTTCAACATGTTGCATACTTGTTTGGAATAATTAAAAAAGCTAAGACGAATTTAAAATAACATTAAAAGTTTAGGAGATTTTAGACACTGAATCTATATTATATTATATGAATGCATATGCAACTAAGGGTCGCATTGCATAAAGTCGCTTGTTCATAACAATTTAACAAATTCATTGCATCCATCCTCCTTTTTTATGGCGGTTGGAAAAAGCACTGTAAGTGAAGAGAAAAGTTTGACCTAGATGGAAATCAAGTGGCATGTGACATATAATTGTGCCCATTTTACGTCTTTTAAAGTTCCGACTTCCCGTTCCAAGTAAGTAGGTCGATTATTGTCCCATCCTTTTAGTTTTTTAGCTACACCTGTTTTTGGCACTGTGCAAAAGAAAATTTATCAGGCGACGTGAATGAGTTTCTCTACTTCGTTTTCTACTTTTTATTTTTATTATATAACTGGGATGTGGTGGCTCACCAAGCTGGCCAACTTGGTAGATTTCCAGTTGGCAGCCAATAAAAAATAAAAAATGGACCAAAACCAACAAAAATGTGAAAAATTATTAATACAAAAATAATAAAAAACAATTAACGTTGTCCTTGCGTTCTTTTTTTTTTTCAGGTTGTCTCTACCTGGATGTCGGTTTGTGTCGTGGACAGGAATAAAATAATATCATCCTAAGATTAGATCATCTCATGGCTATTATTGAGAGCCAATCAAATCAGATGATTCTATTTCCCAATCTTTCTAATTTGTTTCTACGGAACTAAGGTTGAAAAGATTGAGAATCGTTCATAACCATTGTTAAAGGATTCCTCGAAAAGTTAATACGATGAATTGAGACGGTATTTTGTAAATATATAATTATCTTGACTATATTAACTATTTCTTTATTTTCTGATCACCTAGAAGGGACAAAAGAAACATCTTGTTCTTTCTTCCACAATTACTGATCGCTAGTGGACCTCTCAGTAGGATTCGAAACCAGATGAAGTTATGACCATATGACATTGAAAAAAGAACGAATGGATCTTGTAGGATTCTCAAGAAATTCTTCAATTTCTTCCGGACTGTTGCTGATTATTTTAAGTATCATATAATTATTCCTAACTCACTAATTAAGAATACAGAATTAAGCCAAAGAGAGTTGTCGACAAACCTGGAAAGCATTACGTGTATAATTAAGTGATTACAATAGTAGTTAAATGATTAGAGACTAAACAAGCTATAGGGAAACTGAGCTGTTTAATCAGTATATAGTATCTAAATCCTAATTAGGTGTTGTTCGAAAGTAAAATGCTGATCAACAATTTGATCTGATGTCGGCCGGATCAAACCTAGAAGCTTAATGCCGAAAACCTCCAGTGCTCCGCCAGGCTGGTTAGGGTTTCTGCTATCTTCAAGCCTGCATGGTAGAATTCCATGACATTGTTTTGGCACACCACACAAGTTGTATTGGATGGACAGCTTAACATTAAACTTTGGATTAAAAACATTTCACATATGATATGTAGAAATGTCATTTGGCTGCGCTAAAGTTTCTCCTAACAAGGAAAACAAGTAAAAAGTCGAATTATTTATCCGTAGGGTTCGTTTAGTGTCTAGGATTAGATTGGATGATTCGTATGTGTGTTGAAAATAATGACGAATAATTTTTCATTTTGAGGATATTATATACGGAATTAGACAGGACTACACATGCATGAAGAAAATTTATGTCTTCTAATCCTAGACACCGTACGATTGTCATACGAGAATAAGAAAATGTGATTCTTTTATAAGAGATGCCCCACAGACGATGGGGTCAAAACACCTTAGCTCAATTTTTATCTTCACAATGTCTTGCATATTATGGACATTGTATTCGATTGTCACATTATTTGAAGACAGTTGAGACAGTTGGTTAGGGCATTGTATCTATCCCCAAAAACTCAATGGTGGCCTGTTGGGATAGTTGGTTAGTACAAAGGGCATAAGTCCCCAGTGGTGACTGGTTCAGTTAAAAAATTCCTGGGAAAAACGTCGTCCGTCCTGCAGTGATCGTAGGCAGTAAGCTGCATCAGAAAAACACAACGCTTCTCAGATTGCTATGCTCGCTTATCGAACAAGCAATTTCATCTCACAAACTATAATGTTTGACAGAAATCGCATAAGAAACTGAGGGGAAAACAGAATCAGAGGTTGACGTAGCTTAAGAAATGAGCTTGCGAGGGTAAACACAAAAGTCACCATGAAAGAACTGGCAAACAGAACAAAGAAAACTAGATTGCAAACAGGATTATCGCCGGTGAGGTCTTTGACTACGAGACCCTGGATGGGGCAGCTCTAAAGAGCCTCGTATAGTCGGAAACTCGATGTTCAGATCAACTGTGCCTAATTTGATAGCAAAAGAGAAGGTTATAACTGCATCATCTCTAATTACTCAAACAATGACATTTTAAAGGATAAGCAGGGGCAAAAGTTAAAACAACAAATGAGATGCAATGTCATACTCAGCATTGATAGATTATTCAGGTAGAATTTAGTTGGTTGATTACTAAGTACACTTAGATCATCAAACAATCGTATCGAATTCAAACTAATTCAAAGGACATGTAATAACACGAAAGAAATTTGGAACCTTTGAATTGTGTATGATGAAGAACGAATATCTGTTCATACACATCCTGTGAATTCTTAATCCAAGAAACCATCTGAA